TTGGGAGAAAAAACTATGTAAGGATTATTCTCTAAAATCTCCATCAATTTAATAACAAGAGATTCAATTAACCATTCACTAAAATTTAACCTATTTTGCACTTCATTATCGGTATCGAAAAAGTTAAGTTGTAAATGAGAAGGACGATTGTTTCTTGGAATAATTTCATTTATAAAATGGTATATTTGACCTTGAATTCTAAAGGTATAAATGCCATTATACTTTGCGCATAAATTTTTATCATAATTCACACCAAACGATGTCATAGAGAAATTGTAATTATAGCTTCTCACCATTTCTCTAACGTTTAAAGATTCTTCAAAATTCGAAGTTGAAGTAAACAACGTATATAATTCTACTGGCACATCATTTTTTTAATAAAATTTGTCAATTTAAATAGCAAAATCCCTTGGTTTCTCTAAAAAATTTCACGGCTCCACGGTGATCACAAATAATCGTTTCAGGTAGCACATAAGGTTCTGAGAAAAGACTATCATCATACTGCCCCATATCTGAACACCCTAAGCAAAAAAAATCTCAAATATTTAACATTTAAATATTACATATCTTCAACCAATTTTACCGTAACAAATAAAACAAAAGAAAGAGAAATAGAATGAAATATTATAGCATGATTCTCACTAGATTCTTTTCCAATTTTAACTCTTTTTTCTCTATGTTGTTCATCGCATGTAGTTTCTGTTAAATTATTAATATTTTGTGCTTGCTTACCATCAAATTCAATCTTTATTGAACTCTCTGAACCTTTACATCCAAAACAAGACTAAATATTAGGAATGAAAATAAAAGCTTGAATCACAATAATATGATTTATAACTAATATAATATACCCAATAGGCAAGATAAAACTTAAAAAAAAATTACAAATGAATCAACGAAATCAATAAATTATAGGTACTCACCAACAGAAGTGGTTGGAATGCAGCTAATGTCTTGATCCAACAAAAAAAAAATAAAAAATAAAAAAATTATTTCTTCCAAATGATATAACAGATTGCCCAAAATTTTGGGAATGAATATTTTCTTCCATATCACCTTGCAACTATTTTTAAGAGAAAACAATAATTAGCTCCTTAATAAACAATGTGTCTAAAATGATATTTCAGTGCAATAAAAGCAATTTTTGGATAAAATACTCAATCCTTAATCATTTTGTTCATGTTCAAATTTTGGAAGTCGAAATTAATGTCTCATTTTCGATTCAAAATTTCAAATTTCCAATATCGTAATGAACAAACTCAGCTTCTGGCAATTTCAAATCAGACTAAGCGAAATACAGAAATACAGAGAAAGCAAATGGTGAGGTCACTGTCAATCTCACCTTTAACCAAACCCAGAAAGAATAATCTGGAAAATTCCAATGTATTGAAACTTCAAATTAAGTACTCAAATAAAACACAGCAAGTCTTATTCCGTTTCAAAAATTATAAATTTGTAAAAATAATTTTCTTCTGTTCTCTTAATTTTACCTTTCTGGTTCTTCTTTGTTTGTGCTCAGAGTTAGCTCTAAGAATTTCAAGGAGTCATGATTACACTGAAAGAGCCGGAACTTGAAACTTAGCCGAAGAAGAGAACAGATTCCACAAATTGTTACTGAATTTGAAGCTAAGCCGGAAAAGAAACATATTCTCCATTAAAAATACATAATGTAATGTAAGAAGAAAATAAATATCTTCAATAGAAATACCAAATCTCAAAAATATAGGAAAAACACCAAAAAATTTACTAATTTTCTTGAAGCAAATGAAACCTAGGTTGAATAATTTAGAAGAGCTTATAATATGAAACAAGGAAACAAATTAAGACAGTGATATTGAATGGTGTAGACATCCGCCTGCGATAACGAGCAAGGTAAAGCATTACACGCTAACGCAAGACTGTCGACCCCCTATGGGCACTCTTTCTCTCTACCTCTACGCTAGGCCATTGACCCTACTCTGCCTTTACGCGAGACTGTCGATCTCCCAGGTGCTCTACTTCTACAAGAGACCATCGACCCCCCCCCTCGGGGGCGCTTTACCTCTACGAGAGACCATCGACCCCCAGGTGCTCTACCTCTACTAGAGATCGTTGACCCCCCGGAGTGTTCTACCTCTACGCGTGGCCATCAACCCCCATGGCCGCTCTACCTTTTTACCTCTACATGTGGCCATCGACCCCCATGGACACTCTACCTCTACACGTGGCCATTGACCCCCTGGGTGCGCTCTACCTCTACCCGAGACCATTGACCCCCCAATGAGAGCTCTACCTATGCGCAAGGTCGTTGACCGACATGGAATTACCTATATGATCACCTCAATACTTAACCATAAAACCTCTGATGAATTGACAAGGTTCTATGACGGTTACCACATGCACAACCTCCAGGCGAGAAATTAAAGACCTCACACTCAGAACGTGGAGGTAGTGGAAAAGCCAACGTGGGACACACAGGTATGGATGATTTTATATTTTTTTAATCATCTGAATTCCATTCTTATTTCTCCGAACATATATACTGATTCTCACGCCGGAGGTAAAATGGGGGAAAAAGCCCCGCCCTTAATTTTTAGGTTACACACACTCGTCGAAGTAGCAGAAACACCAAAGGCCGCCATGTAAATCATGAGGTACTATTCCACCACCATTTTAGACAGGAACTTACTTTGTGGAGAAGATGTTGACTGTTGAAGTATGAAAAAGAGATTCAGGCATGGAGAGCTGACTGTTGAAGTATGAAAAAGAGGTTCAGTTATGGGGCTAACAAAGAGGCATGGGTTTGAAGTGGAGATTAATTGATTTCATGTCCCAGACTTTAAATATATATATGACATCAGCATGATGCGTTATAAATAGTAACAAAAGTTTGCTCTTTTATAAATTGTAGTTATTTAATTTTGATTTACATGTAAAATTATTTTATGAAAAAATATATGGTTGAAAATGAATTTTTAAAAAGTGAGTTTTTAAAAAAATTGGGGCCAAACATATGCGAAGTTTCATAGAAGAAAATGAAACAAATTTTGTAAGACTTAGATGGGCAGCATCTTTTTCCCTTTTAAATCTGAATGCAGAGGATGAAAGGGTTTCGTAATTTAGCCCCTATTTGGGCTCCAATAAAAATAGATTTTCGGAGAATATGTAATTGAAAAATAAGAAAAAAAGTTGACGTATAATTTTATTTTATTGAAAAATATATAATTAAAAATAAGAAAGAGAAAATTCATTTCTTTAAAAAATGAAGCCCAAACAAATAATTTGTCATTTTTCAAAAGGCAGTGGCAATGAATACTAAATTGGGAGTCATCAATTATAAGCCACATAATCGAAAATCGATTTGATGCGACAAACAAATCTAATATTCTATGATAATTTGAAAAATCTTTTTATTTTTATCTTAATTTACTCTATGCTCACTTTTAGAAATTTATGCTTCATTTTGCCATGATTGAATCATTAAATTAATGTCAATGAGTCACACCATACAAGTTTATTAACTTGGGAGATGTTTTGTATCAATACCATATTTATTTATATCATGTACGTACACAAACAGATTAGACTTATAAACTCTATATCCAATTTATATGTTTTCCATTTGATAAGCTAACATAGTTGGATGGAACGAATTAGTTGAAATAAATTACTGACATCTGAATATTTTTAATATAAATTACGAATCTTTATCATATATTCAACGCTCGATGGTGCATTCTTTCAAACCATTTTTAGAGCGATAGATAGTAAGATAATGTTAATTATATTGTTAGATAAGTGCCTATGATAGGAAAATAATGTCAAAATATTTGAAGAATCGTGATTCATGCCTTCTCCTTTTTCTAGTACTTAGAAAAAGAAAAATTGTAGTCGATATGATATCTCCAATCTAATACAGATGTTCAATCTTTAGTTTTCGGCATTTTAAATGTTTTTGTTAGCAGTTTGGTCCCAAGCGAATGATTTCCATCATGTTGCCATTAAAATGTTGAGAATTTCTACTTTTCGTCTTCAACTTTTGCAAACTTTTACTTATCTACCTTTGATATTTTTTTAACATTACACATTCCCGACCTTTCATTTAGTTACAAATCAAGTCCTTCCATCCATTTTCCCCTTAGACCCACTTAAAATGACGAATTTTTGCTTCTCTTTTAATTTAATTGAAATAAGGATGTATTTGTCTTTTCAGTGTTATATCTAACTTGTTAAAAGCTATGTAGATGGAAACTATATGGGATCAAACTACTACGGAATAAAAAGTTGAGGACATGCATTATCAACCATGAGTGGGGGCTTCCACTACAGTTTTATTTTAATGTGTCCAATATGCAAATACATCATAAATGCTTGTATTGCATGTACATCACAATTTATAGATTTATTTACAAACAGAATACATAGTGAGATTTGATTGTATCAAAATCTCATCGACCAAATTTTTTTCTTTTTTCTATTACGTAGATTAAACAAGCATAACCGATTGTGGGAAGAGGTTTTGATAGTTAAAATTCAATTTATCATCATCTCAACAATCTATAACAAAAATAAATAAATAAATAAAATAAAATAAAAATCTACAATTGATGATGTACAACAAGTATTTCTTATAAAGCATTATAAATGGGAGCCAACAAGTCTACCAATAAAACACACAACTAGAAAGCACTTCAGAGAATTTAATTTAGTTGAAAAACTCTCTCCCCGTGATTCAGTTTTCATCTCTGAAGAATATGTCATCAGGCTGTAGTTGTGGCTCAAGCTGTTCTTGAGGCAGCAACTGCAGGGAAAGTCTCGACTTAATATTCCTACTATATAGAGGATTATAAGGCTGTCCTGTGCACGAAAATTCTTAAGATATTGGTTTCTGTTTCGGAAACTCAAAAAAACAAAAAACTTTTTATCATTTTTTCTCTAACACTTGTGCATACCAATTTAATAATACAAGCAAAGATTAAGAGAGTGTCATGTGGCCAAACCTGCACGGCTAATTTAGTCATCAATTTTCGTATTGGCAGTTGTGACAAATGTGCCCGGATGTAGAAAAGAGCACGACAGCTACCATCATTGAAGGGGTTGCACCAGTGAAAACGAAAGTCATCATTATATCCATTGCAACTAGTATTTTAGTGTTTTTTTGTTTTGAGTTATACGAGATGAAAGTCTTATGTATTTTGAGAGGGGGATTTCATCTATCCCAATAAAGTCTATAATTTGCTTCTTACTTTACGGGTTGGTTTGGCCTCCTCCTTTCCTTTGAAAGAGATCCCCAGTGCAGTGCCTATTCACTTTGAATCGGATCTTGCACTTTCAGATCAGTCCTATTAGTGCTTAGTCAGACCAGCATTTGAGCGAGATCTAATGACGGTGGTTCAGGAACTTCTACCTCTTTTCTGTAAAGTAATTACTACATTAGCCATAAAAGATGATTTTTGACCAATATATAGCCTACATAAACACACATTACATTTTGAACTTGTTAATTGAGGATCGTAGCTTCCTCCTCTCTGTCCACTTCTCGCTGCTTTTCTCGTCCATCTTGCCCTGAGCCGATCACAAATTCAATCGCAAGTATTTAAGCATCCATTAGTTAAGGGGTTCGTGGCATGAAGCGCAATTCAATTTACGGTAAGACTTAATCTGAACCGTAGTTCATATTCAAGTTGGTTTAGTAAGGGCATAATCGTGGGTGCTTGAAACCACATTTAGCTAGCTCCTTAAGCTTCCCACTTCAAGAGGGAATCTTTGTATTCGGTCCTAAATGGTTTCATCAATCTAAGCGATACTCTTTCCATGGTGCCCGGCTTGCTGGCGATAAACTTAACAGTCCATATCAGTTCCACTTATTCGTGCATGTTAACCAGTTTATTAAACTTATCCATTCTAGTACGATGACATCCATTTCAACATTCTCATTTACTTTATTTTCATCTTGCAAACATTTTATGGTCACAGGTACTTTGAGGAATCTGAGAAAAGCTTCGGTGCTGAAGGAGGTCATGGCTGCAAGTGCGGATCAAACTGTCAATACGACCCTTGCAACTGCTGATGCAGCGAAATTGTTCGAAGCCCCAAAAATCAATCATGGGTTTTATAAATGTGTTTAATAAAGATAAATATAATAAGACAACCTTAAATTCTGCAAATTCATTTACTGGATTTGTCTGATGTCTTCCGGGCGTTAATCTATCTGTGCATCTGTAATTCTTGTTTGCAATTTGATAACTGGCCTTGAATTTCCGTGTTGACGAGACATAAATTGTGTTAAGAGCAGTTGACATAGTCAATATAGCTCTTTAATTATTGTGTAAAGTATAAACCTCAAGCTTGACATACAGACAGGGCCACATAGACCATGTTCGTCCAAGGGCCGCAGGTGGCGTCCCCTATTGATTGGAAGTCTAGCTTTTTTAGAACCGTACAAAAATATTCTGTTTTATAAACCGACTAGGCAAAAGAAATTGGAGAGCCCAAATTCCATGTTCAACCGAATTGTGTGAAATCTCGTATGAAAGACTTCAATCGTTGTTTCCTTGCCATGAAACTATAGGACTCAGAAAAATTGAAGAGTTGAGGAATGTCATAACTCAGAAGGATTCAAGTAAACAGAGGCCCTTAATCGATAAGATGAAAAATTTCTACGATAAACAACAAAAACTGTTGAATTATTTATTCTTCTCCACCAAAAAAAGAACATCTACCATGAACAGCAGAATGTAACCTCTGTTCAAGGGAATATGCTCATAAAACCCAAGGTTATACTACAAAAGTAAACTACCAACACACCACAAAATCATCGACAGCTATCTAAACAGAGCCACAGAAATCAAGGCACTTGCTTTGTACTAAGTTGGGTATGAAAACAATCACACTTCTAGGAAATCTCTGTAGCACGAATACTTTAACTAGGGTAGTATGTCCGGTTGGTAGGAAAACAATTATAGTTCTAGGAAAAAATATAATGATGCACAATCAATAAGAGCAGAAAAGACGGTCATGACTGAGAGAGAGTCTCAAGTATTGGTATGGAGCTCATTGCAAGCCTATCCTAAAAGACTCCATTACAAACGCACGGGGTAAAATTAACCTTTAAAACTGACTAATAAATGAAAGGTATCCAATGTGTTCAGAAGCCCACAAGGTAGGCATTTCAAAAGCGATGAGGGATGCAGTATTCTATACATCCTCCTAGAATCTCATTCCTTCCCAAGTCCATGGACTTTTAAGAAACCAACCTCCATCCCACCCTACCCTGGGAATAAAAGAACTGTATAAGCACGACCATACAAGGAGGGGGAAATAGAAGTGTGACTAAAACCTGAACAAAGAATTAGACAAAGAAAAGCAACCGGTCCTTCATCTCTCAATTCAAAAGCCAACAAAAGTAACCATGTTAAAATTTACTAAAATATTAGGAAATTTTATTAAGGAAGAACCAAAAGGGATTTGCCAATGACTGCTATAGCCATTACTATTTCCAAGCCAGATGAATCCAAAAGCTAAGATGCTATACATCATTCTTGAAATCAGTCCCATTTACATGAATTCTAGCTAAAAATATTCCAGAGCTCGTGAACAGTACAGATAACACTACTTCAAAGCAAGATGAATCCAACAGCTAAGATGCTACATCATTCTTAAAATAGGTTCCATTAAAACAAATACTAGCCAGAATATGTTAAAGCCTGTGACTGCTATAGATAACACTATTTCAAAGCCAGATGAATCTAACAGTTAAGATGCTATATCGTTCTCAAATAAGTCCCATTAACATGTATACTAACCAAAAATTTATCCTCTTCATCATTTCCAAGTCATGATTGTGCTAGTTTCCAGGTTGTAAGGTACTAAGGTGTATATCATTCAATTAATTTTCTTCTCAGTCATGCCACAAAACGGCCAACCAGAGGATGAGCAGAACCAAATGCGCAAACATCTTTTTGACTTCACTATAAAAAAAAAAAAAAAAAAC